TATTAGATTGATGAGAATCACAAATCCACCCTACTTTTTTACTCTTTAAAAGTGAAATAATTTTATTATAAAGTAAATTTAAACGTGTTCTTTCTTATTTTCAAATAGGAAGTTTGACTTCAGTAGTCATAAGTTTTTCAAAAGCATTTGGTAAATTTATTGGAGGTGGTATTTGTAAATTAGTTGTTTTTTCAAAAACAATCGTAAATTTCACTTAAGAAAATTTAAGTGACTTTATAAGCATTATCTGAGCATATAATCCTTCTTTTACAGGTTTCTATGAGTCTATATCATTAGGTCAAACTGATACTAGAACCATTTTTCTTAAATATACACCTGAAGTAATCGAATCAAATTTATCAAAAAAAACTTTTCTCATCTACTTCTTTAATTCTTGGTTGAATTAAACTTTTAAGGCCTTTACATACTTGAAATATAATGAAAATTATTGTAAATGTTAAAAATTTGGGAAGAATGAGAAAAAGGGAGATAGAATACCATTTTAATATATTCAATGAAAAAAATCATTGAAAAAATTATAAAGTGTACATTCGTTCTGAAAAAAATGATAAAGTTATGTTATATGTTGATCAAACTGATCAGAAACACTCACAATTTTATTAGTAGATTTTTTTTTTGGGATATTTTGAAAAATCAGAAGGGGGAAAAATATAATACAGAAAATCAAATTAGTGCTGTCTTAATTATATAAAATTATAATGAATTATTATACAAATTCATTAAACAATTCGTTAAATAGATTTCATTATAATTTATTATATGAAATTTGTAATGAATCAGTTATACAAAATTCATTAAACAAATTTTATAATGAATCATTATACAAAATTGTTTAACAAATCAATTATACAAAATTTGTTAAACAGATTTTATAATTATTCATTAATAAAATTTGTTAAATAATTTGTTACATAGATTTCATTATGATTTTATATGAAATTCATAATGAATTGTAATATTTCATTTTATGAAATTCATTGATGATTTGTTAACAAAATTTATAACGAATCATTAAATGAATTTTGTAATGATTTATTATATGGGAGGTTTGCTAGGAAAATGGGGCTTTGAGCATTTTTTATTAAAATTTTAATTTTATTGCATTTTGATTTTTGATAATATTAGATTAAAATGCAATAAAAATTAAAATTTTAATAAAAAATGCTTAAAGTCCCATTTCTCTAGTAAACCTTCCATATGAAATTCATAATAAATCAGTTATATAAATTTCATTAATAATTCATTAATGAAATTCATAATAATTCATTAGAATTCATTAATGATTTGTTTAACAAAATTTTTTAATAAATCATTATTAAATAATAAATTATTATACAAATTTGTTAACGAATCATTATTAAGTAACAAATTGTTATATAAATTTATTAAAATGAATTTGTAATGAATCATTAAGTAACAAATTTATAATAATTCATTAAATAGATTTCATAATAAATTATTAATGAATTTTATTATAAATTGTTAATAAATCTTGTTAATAAAACTTGTTACCAATCAGTAAATCTAATTGAATAATAATCATTGATCAGATATTAAACTGAATGATAACTAATTATTAATTGAATCTGATTTATTACTATTGAACATATAGTTTACAATTTATTAAAATAAGTATAAAATCAGGTTGGAACCTGATTTATGTAATTCTAATAATATAAATCAGGTATTAACTGATTCATATCTGATTGTAGTATCTACTGATTTCTATCTATTGATTGCTAAGCAAAAAAAGTGACTAATCAGGAAGGTAACTGATTGATCAGTAATTGACATTAACCTAAAAAACTTTTTTTAGAGTTTTATATCTTTTTATTGCAAAACTTCTATTTATTAAGAAGTTTTATGACTTTTATTAATGATAAAATTCAATTCATGAATTTAAAGATTTTTTAAAGAATTTTATAATAAATTTTTGAAATTTAATTTTAAATTAAAAATTTTAAAATATTTGCTAATAAAGTTGATAAAATATATATTTAACTATATTTTTTATATTAATAACAAAATTAATATTTAATCATTTTTTTTTAATTTCACAGGCAAATTTGCCTACCTGCTAAACTATCTAAGGGATATGGTAGTTATTCTGAAAATAAGCATCTTGACATAATACCGGCTAAAAACCTCATTCATAATTCTGGCCAAAATCCTGTTAGATTAAACTAATTAGTAGCTGTAGACTAAATCCTATCCAATCATTACCCTGCGTTGGTTAACTATTCATTATTATTGGCAGATAAATTCGTGTTACTTGAGCCAAGGCGCAACAAATAAACAAAACAAACAAACTGATTGGTTGGATTAAGTGAAGTTACCGTATTTATTATCGGAAATTTTTTTTATTAAAAAAAAAAAAAAAAAAAAAAAAAAAGCAAAAAAAAAGGCATAATCACAGAGGAAACGTTCGTTGATTATGTAACTATATACCATAAATGTTTGTATGCAAGAAACCAAAGAAACAAAAAAATGCCAAATTTAAATTTTTTATAGGAGTAACTACTATTTTAGAAAATGCTCTGCTACACAAACCAATTTTGTAAATCACCCGAATTGTAAAAAAAAGTGGACATCATCAGTTTCGATAAATTATTAGATAACGCGTTTTTTTCTTTTTTTTTTTTGAAAAAGAAATTATGTTCTCTGCGGTTGCCTAAGGAATAAACTCGTTCTTTTTGGGGTATAGAGAATGTCTTCTGATCAAACCTATTGTAGTAGTACAACAAAAGCAACCAGTTATATTTATTCAAAAGTTATGAAGCGATCAAGTTATCGAAAATTAAGATCTCAAACATCTAAAGCAAGAACAGCAGCACAAAGGGAGTCTTCACCTTTTGATAATATTAGTGAACGTAGTAATGGTAGCGGTAAAAATCAACTCAGACAATCCTCAGTCTCTCCTTCTGGTTCTCAACCAACTGATGTAAATGCAAGTTTTATCTCGGTATCAAGTATACCAAATGAAGATTTTAATACTGTACAGACAGAATCAAATTTTGCCTCACAACAATCATCATCAGATAATAACTCTGAAGATAATTATTCAAATTTAATTATCAATCATTCAGGAAGCTCGACATATAGCTTTTCTCGTTCGTCGTCAATTTCATTAACTAGAACAAATTCCTATATTGGTACGGAATCGGTATACTCTACCAATAGTAGATCGCGTGCATCTTCACCATTTGTAGAAACTTCATCTGATATTAGATCTGAAGTTACTTCAACAAATAATTCCAGAAGGTCATCTGTTTTATTTCAATCTTATAATTATGAGGGAAATTCTTCTGATGACACATGTTCCGCTGTTATTATGCCATTAGAGACTTCAACATTAGAAAAAAAAATTATACGAGAAGGATTAGAGTCAACATCCACCAATATTATTGATAATGTTAATGATAATATCACACAACAAGCACTAACAGAAGGAGAAGAGAATTCTAATAATTTTATTCATCGAGCATTTAATAGGGTTAGAAATACTTTTATTTGGAATAAAATTATTGAAATTATCATTGTAACAAAGGAATGGGTTAAAAGTACGATTACACGCGATAATTGGAGATACATTGCGATGGCGACATTGATCACATTACTCTTATGTTATTTTGTTCCATGTAACATGGGGGACTTGAAGAACCTAGAATTTTCGGAATGTATAACAAAGATTAATAACGTGATTCATCAATATAACGTGGAATTGACGGATTCATCAACAACGTTTAATAAGGATAATGAAGCATTGTTTCGAGATGTGGTCGCGGATCAAGTCAAAACGGTGTGTGCAGCGGAAGTACAAAAAAGAATTCCAACACCAAGTTATGATTTAGCAACGAGAGAAGATCTTGTAGTTGATATTGTACGACAAGAAATTAGAAAGGCAGTAGAAGAAATGTTATATACTTATTCACAGGATAAATTAAATAAGGCAGATTTCGCATTGTCAACGGGGGGAGCGAAGATAATTAGAGAATTAACATCACCAACTTATGAGCAATGGCCAACTCAATGGTATAGACTGGCAATAGCAAAAATAACCGGTCATGGAATTACGAGGGGTAAACCTCCGATAACCGCTTTACAACCGGAAACACATGTTGGACAATGTTGGTCATTTTCAGGACGACAAGGACAATTAGCTGTATTGTTGAGTAGGAAGATTTATGTTACAGCAATTACTTATGATCATGTAAGTAAGACGGTTGCGATGGGAACAACCAGCGCTCCGAAAGATTTCGAAGTCTGGGCCTTTGTTGATGATGACAACAATGAGAAAACGGATCAGAAAACAGAACAGGAATTCGATGAAAATATCGATTATTCAACTAGCAATACGTTAAAGAATATTCCTATTAACCAACAAGGTTCAAATAATCTAGAATCATCTTCGTCTAATCTTTTACATCTATCTGGCAAAGATTTAAAACTTGGATCATCTCCAAATCATTTGTTATTGGGACGTTATACTTATGATATAAATAAGTCTCCAATTCAAACCTTTGAGGTGAATCCAAATAAACCTATACCAATTCGAGCCATTATTATGAAGGTAACCAGTAATTGGGATAATCCACTATATACATGTTTATATCGATTTCGTGTACATGGTATACGAGCTGATGTAAATTCTGATACTGAATGAAATTCCGATTTAAAAAGTGGAGATATTTTCTTGTAGGAAACAAATTGGTGTAAAATAAATATATATTCCCCCCTTTTTTGGGCTTTCTTTTTAATAAATTTTTTTTTAACCTTTTTTATAAGTAAATCATGTGACACTGCAGCGGATCAAAATTGAAACCACGTGTTCGCGTCGAAATGGAAACAAAATATGAGGTCACGTGGGGTGAAAATTTTTTTTTGGTGGAGATACGGATCAAAATAAAAATCCTAGATTTTATCTTTTTTTTTTTTTTTTTTTTCCTCTCTATCTTCCTATAGAAAAAAAGGTGAGATAGATGTCAATCGAACCTTCACAGGTGGAAACACCAAAAAATATCGCGATAATAGGAATTCAAGACGAATATACCCGAAAAATTATAATCAATTCATTCAAAAAAATTCTACCCGATTTGCAAATATTTAAATTTTCAAAGACGACGACGACGTTTACCTTCACAACCGCAAAAATAATACATTGGTTAGAATATGAGGACATCGATTTTTTTAATCGAACATTGTTAAATAAACATTCGCTACTGATTAATTCATATTGTATCAGGAAAGGATTGATTCGTAAAGCAAATTTTAATTTCAATATACGAAAATATTTGAGTAAAAATCCAAATAGTATTTTAAAGAGTTCCATACCTGAAACATGGTTCTTTGAAGTTACGCACAAAGATTATTTGGATGAAGCTCTTGAAGAAATTTTTGAGGTTGTAAACGAATGTAAAGACAATGATGAAAGGATTAATGAAGAAAAGGTTAAATTTATTCTAAAACCTAGTTTAGGTAATAAAGGCGCAGAAATCAAAATTTTTGACAGCATCGATCAGTTAAGAAGTGTTTTCGAAGGGAATGACGATTCGGAGGAAGAAGATGAAGAAGATGAAGATGAAAGCATATTTCATATAAGGGAATGGGTCGTTCAACGATACATATCAAAACCATTGTTGATTCAAAATCGAAAATTTCATATTCGATCCTATATTTTAGCGGTATCAAATTTACAAGTTTATCTCTACAAAGATATGTTGGCTCTTTTCGCGTTAAACGCGTACGCGCCCACCGAGATCAATGACTTTTTATCACATTTAACGAATACTTGTTTACAAATGAATGAAATTTCCTTTAAGGAATCAAATCAAGTAAAATTATTTTGGGACTTAACAAAAGATAATGAAGGTGAGAAAGGAATGATCAGTAAACTTGATTTAGAGATGATTTTTAATCAGATCAAATCAATTTTAAATGATTGCTTTGATTCTATCGTTAATGAAGTAACTCAATTTATGCCCATGGAAAACGCGTTTGAATTATTTGGCTTTGATTTTTTGGTGGATCATGAAAAGAACGCTTATCTATTGGAAGCTAATTCCGTAAGTCTTTTTTTTTCTTCATTTTTTTACTTTTTTTCTAACTTCCTTTTCAAACGCAAGTTTCCAGATTTTAAACAGACGGGTGATGGATTGTCTCACGTAATTTCAAAAATGTTTGAAGACACCATAAAATTGGCAATCATTCCTTTCTTCGAAGATGAAGAATTCATTAAAGATCATGATTCAAAATTTTGTTTGGTATTCAAAAAAGAAAAAAAAACAAACAAATAAACAAAATAAAGAACAAATAAATCTTTTAAAAAAATTTTTTTTAATCTTCCCAAATTTATTTAATGATGGATAAAATTTACATTACAAATCAAAATGGAGAGTAAATATATATCAAAGAATATTATCAATTTTTTTTTCTTTTATACAAGTAAAGGTTCGTTTTCGGGATACAATCTATTTCTTCTTAAATTCCACCAAGCGATCGTCCGTCTCTCAAAAACTCTCAAAACTCCACCTAAAATCAAACCAGAAGCGACGGATGATGCAATCAATATTGGCATCGTATCTTGATGTTTATTCGCAATTCCAACAAGTGCCCAAGCAATGGTAGACGCAAACATGGCGTCATTTCTTTTATGGTAATCAGAAAAGTAAATCCCAACAGCTCCAAGAAATGCGATGGCAACGGTGGACAAGAATACGGTATCAAGTATGGAAATTGCTACCCAAAAATTCAAAATTGTCGCTACGAGAGTCCACGCCGCATAAATTGTAAAAGGGTAATGAATGAACAATCGATCCCAAATAACCTTTGGAGGATAATATTCCGTAATATTATTATATGCTTTGAAAGTGACTAAAAAGAGAGCAACAAGAACAAAAGCGTCGAGGAGAACGAGACTCTTGTTGCGCTGTAAATATTTAATAATAAAATAAAATAAGATCAATATATAACCTTTTATTTTTATTTTTATTTTTTTTTTGGAGAATGAAAAGAATACTTTACCCAAGTCAATAACCAGGTAACGTTCAAAATGCTGGCAATAACATGATAATATTGAATTCCTTCAACGGTTACAGCATCAGCAGCATCAGTCCATTGATAAAGGATAAAACCGCCAAGTAAGGTATAAATAAAAGGCCAAATTTTAAAAGTATATTCTGCAGGTAAAAGATGAGTTTCCGGAAATGTTACTTTATCGTTTACAAATGATAAAGTATTATTATCGCCTGGTTCAGTATCCGGTTGTTTACTTTCGTCGTTCTTAAATACAATATAATTAACGACGATAACTAATAGAAAGGCGACAACATTGGCTGACTTAAGAAAAATACTTTGACGAGACATTTTTAACTTTGTCTTCTGTAAGAAGAAAAGGAGTTAAAACTCATCTTATTTATATCTTATGAACTTCCCGCCAACATCTTAACGCCTCATTGAATAGTACGACATTAATTATTTAATTGTCTAACCACCTGGGCGTAAAGTTACACAATTTTACAAAGGTTATTTACTATTTATTGCCTTTTTCATATTCTCCATATATCAGATATCGGATATAATAAAATCTAAAAAATTTTAAATTTATACACGTTATGAAAATCTTGATTATCTTGCACAATAAAGAAAAAACAAAAAAAAACTTTGTATTACTCGTTCGAAGAAAAAAAATTCTATAAAAGCTCGTAAAAATTAATTTCCTTCGCCCCACAAAAAGGATAAAGTATAAAATAAAAATTTCTCCACCAAACTAATGTCTTTAAGATTCGCGCTTCAAAAAGACAAAAGGAAAGGTACTTTATTATTATTATTTTTTTTTTTTTAACAAATCAATCTCTTGATCGTCCTTGTTTGGACAATCTTCAGCTCGTATGATCCTCCCATGACGCAAGAAATTTCAATCCCGGTGAAACCATTCTAAAAGATTTACCGCGATGAAAGTTATATATAAAAATTTGAGCTAATTCGAATCGATATAAATGATAACAACCTTACCTGTGATTCAATAGGTCCAATTTAATTCACTGAATTTTGAGATATTCAACGCGTGCGAAAACTTTAATATATTTGTTGCAAATTTTTATAATATTATTACTTAAAAGTATGTGTAAACTTTTGGAGACGCTCTGTAATATCAAATGTTAGCTGCGAGAATCGTAAGAGATTTTTAAGAACATATGGGAGCTGATCTATTAAAAATGGGTTACAGGAAATTTTTACAAAAAATGAGATTTTTGATTCATATTATAGTATATTATATGAACTTTATTTGGTTAAATTTTTAGAGGCT